AGACCTCAAAAACAGGGTGACTGAGCACAAGAGGGAAAAGAAAAAAAAAAAAGACTGCAACTTGCTCCCAGGGACTGGAGAAAATTTAAAAAAGGGAAGGTTGGAATCCATCAGTGTTCTATTAGTCATCTTCACCTTCATTCTCCTCTCCTTCCTCCCCTTCATCATCATCTTCATCTTCTTCACCTTCATCCTCATCCCTTTCTTCATCAATATCTTCTAATCCTTCTTCCTCTTCATCATGATCATCATCTTCTTCTGCTTCTCCTTCTTCATCATCCATATCAGGAACCAAGTAGTATTGTAATGGGTTTGGCCAAATATCATCTTTGATGACCTCTCCTAATTCATCAGCACCTGCATCAGAATGGTCAGTAAACCAGGTAAAGAAGCTCTCTGGTTCCTCATGCTGCCTCTTCCTGCTGGCTTTATTCTGCGTTTGACTTGAACGTTTCGTCAAATCCTTTCCAGATTTCCATTTGATTTCGGTGACTTTGAAGATGGATCACCACTCTCATTCAGATGAAATTCTTTGGAGAGAACTTAATTTTCAAAGTAAGGATTTTCATCAAAATAAAAATCTATTCTGTAACCTGATTTAATATCTTCAAATTCTGTCACTCCAACTCTGGTCAAATAATGCAGTGCCTCTTCGTCCTCCTCCCCAAGCAGGGCAGACACTTGTGGATGGTTGACAAATGTTGTTACCCAAAAATTTGGGATTTTGGCGATCAATTCTGACCTCTTCTGAAAAAATGGTTTGCGGAGTTTGTTATATTTCTGTTCTACTTTCAAAATCTCCTCACTGGCTTCTTCATTAAGTCTGTCTAGCTCATTTTGTACTTCATCAATGTGTTCAATTGTTTCTTGCTGTTCTTTTTCTCCCTTCTTCAGCAAGCCTGCAGAGGCCGATGTCTCCTCCAGTCCCTGAGCATGAGGTGGTCTTGGTTTCTTCTTTTGAGGCGGGAGTGGAGACTGGCGTTTGGGGGCCATGTTGCTGGGGAAGTCCGAGGACCAGAGCACAAGTCTTCTTGCTCGTCCGGAAGGAGGCAGAGCACTCTTCTTCCTGCTTTTAAGGGTCATGTTTCTTAAAATCCTATAAGCTAATGACATCACTTTCATGTTTCTCTCTGCATTTACCCCTTGGTACTGGAGAGACCCTCACTGCATCTCAGTAAGAATGAGATGTGTTCTCATATATTCACACTAGAATGGATGTGTTTATCCATGACTCATATCTAACCATATCCTGGCTACAAGATGCTCACTTTGGATCTAAGGACACATAGAAGTTGAAATTGCAAGGGTAGAAAAGGATATTCATGAAAATTGTAACTAAGAATTTTTTTATGATCTCTCATAAGATTCTATGGGGGGCGTGTGTTGGTTATAAACGTGGCAGGGAGAGACATGTCCGAGATATGGGTATGTGGGGGCACAGCAAAGGTGAGAAAGATTACTTGTGGAGTAAAGAACAAGGAAGTAAGTGGAGAGGCATATTTTTCTACAGATTAGGACTGGTGAGAAGAGTTGGTGACCAAGCAGGTGACGAAGGTAACTAGGAATGAGGAGGTACAAGGACAAGGAAGTTGCTTTTGAGAACAAAGAACATCTCCTTCCGTCATCTTCTTCCAAAGAATAAAGAAGTAAAAATTCTCAAGAGGAGCTGTTTGTTCGTAACATATAGTATCCTGGGGAAGGACCATATCTTAGGAAGCAGGTGTGGAGTCAAAGCTCTAAATAAAGCCCTATCTACAGCCACACTGTCACTTTATTTTGATGAAATTGTGTGTCATTTTTGGTAAAATTGGGGCTCACAAATCTCTCTTCAGGGATCTCTCTAGTAGCAGAGATGATACGCTTCCCTCCTCCACAGTTCTATTTTAAAGATAAGTGGATCTAGGTCTGTTTCAATTATTTAAAACACCAGAGACTTGGACGCATGCGTGTCACAAAATGGTGAAAGAATGCTCTCTGTCACTTTACCTTCTTTCACTCACTGCACTATGAACAAGAATCTGCCCTACCATGACCTTTTGAATGGGGAGGAGGATCACACTCCTGTATAACCTTCAAGCTTCCAAAGCTAAACCTGCTGCCCAAACAGCATGGTTCATTACAGAGACAAAACTCTAAACCAAGAGCTCTCCCCTCACCCACCATGGCAGGGACTGAATCCCATGAAAAGGCCCAGAGAAATCCTGGTTCAAAAGGTCCATTGTCATGTCCTTTCCATCTAAATGAAGTCAACATATTCATCAAAATATGGGGTATTGATAATGATATAAAAATAATTACCATAAAAATATGACATATATGTTCTTTTTATTATATCAACTTTTTTTTGTCCTGAAAATGTGAAGAAAAGAAGCCTGCACAGCAGTAGAAGTTTTTGCCCTGGGAGAAAGTTATCTTTCCAGTTGAAAAGCTGGAGCTAGAATCACTAGAATAAAACAAGACTTTCAAGAATGACACAGCACTGGGTCTTGGGACAGCCACAGTTAGGGAGGGCTCACCTTTGTTGTGACATCAAGCTTTGGCTCTCCTTTCTTTTTTTTTTGTTCTCATCGTAAGAACCAAATATCAGAGTATCAAGAGACAGAGTCAAGCCAAAGAGATTGACTCAATCTTATTCTTTAGAAAATGGAATCTCAAGGATAATCCAGACTGTTAGGGGCTAAATTGTATCTCCCCAAATTGACATGTTCATTGTCCTAATCCCCACTACATGAGAAAATGACTGCATTTGGAAAGGTCTTTAAGGAGGTCATCAAGGTAAAATGAGGTCATGTGTGTGTGCCCTAATTCAATGTGACTGGTGTCCTTATAAAAACAGATGATTAGGACACAGGCAGACACAGAGGAATGACCATGTGAAAACATAGGGAGAAGACATCTATAAGCCAAGGAAAGAAAGTGCAGAAGAAATGTGCACTGCCACCACCATGATCTTGGACTTCCAGCCTCCAAAACTGTGACACAATACATTTCTGTGTTGTTTCTTGGTTTGTTTTTGTTTTGAGACAGAGTCTCCCTCTGTCACCCAGGATAGAGTGCAATGGTACTATCTTGGCTAACTGCAACCTCCACCTCCTAGGGTCAAGAAATTCACCTGCCTCACCTCCCTAGCAGCTGTGACTACAGATGTGTACCATGAGGCTCAGCTAATGTTTGCATTTTTAGTAGAGACAGTGTTTCACCATGTTGGTAAGGATGGTCTTGATCTCTTGACCTGGTGATCTGCCTGCCTCAGCCTCCTGAAGTCCTGGGATTAGAGGCATGAGCCACCACACCTGAACTTTTCTGTTTTTTAAGTCACCCATTGTGTGGTGCTTCATTATGGCCACACTAGCAAATTGAAATGCACATATTACCATGTCTAGTATCTGGACATGGAATTTTTTCAAGATTATGAATTATCTGGGTTTTCTAAGAATTGAGTAAGTTAATTGAAAACTTCAGGCCAATATCCATGATGAACATAGATGCAAAAATCTTCAATAAAATACTGGCAAGCCAATTGCAACAGCACATCAAAAAGCTTATCCAGGATGATCAAGTAGGATTCATTCCGGTGATGCAAGGCTGGTTCAACATACGCAAGTCTATAAACATAATTCACCACACAAACAGAACCAAAGACAAATACCACATGATTATCTCAATTGATGCAGGGAAGGCCTTTGACAAAATTCAACAATGCTTTATGCTAAAAACCTTCAATAAACTAGGTATTGATGGAATGTATCTCAAAATAATAAAAGCTATTTATGACAAACCAACAGTCAATATCATATTGAACGGGCAAAAACTGGAAGCATTCCCTTTGAAATCTGGTACTAGACAAGGATGCCCTCTCTCACCACTCCTATTCAATATAGTACTGGAAGTTCTAGCCAGAGCAATCAGGCAAGAAAAAGAAATAAAGGATATTCAATTAGGAAAGGAGGAAATCAAATTGTCTCTATTTGCAGATGACATGATTGTATATCTAGAAGACCCCATCGTCTCAGCCCAAAATCTCCTGAAACTGATAAGCAACTTCAGCAAAGTCTCAGGATACAAAATCAATGTGCAAAAATCACAAGCATTTCTATACACCAATAACAGACTTAACGAGAGCCAAATCAAGACCAAACTGCCATTCACAATTGCTACAAAGAGAATAAAATACCTAGGAATACAACTAACAAGGAATGTAAAGGGCCTCTTCAAGGAGAACTACAAGCCACTGCTCAACGAAATAAGAGAGGACACAAACAGATGGAGAAACATCCCATGTTCACGGTTAGGAAGAATCAATATCGTGAAAATCGCCATACTTCCCAAAGTAATTTACAGATTCAACGCTATCCCCATCAAGCTACCAATGACCTTCTTCACAGAACTAGAAAAAAACATCTTAAACTTCCTGTGGGACCAAAAGAGAGCCCGCATAGCCAAGTCAATTCTAAGCAAAAAGAACAAAGCAGGAGGCATCACACTACCGGACTTCAAACTATACTACAAGGCTACAGTAATCCAAACAGCATGGTACTGGTGCCAAAACAGAGATATAGACCAATGGAACAGAACAGAGGTCTCGGAGGCAACACAACATATCTACAACCATCTGATCTTTGACAAACCTGACAAAAACAAGCAATGGGGAAAGGATTCCCTGTTTAATAAATGGTGTTGGGAAAACGGGCTAGCAGAGTGCAGAAAGCAGAAACTGGACCCCTTCCTGACACCTTACAATAAAATTAACTCCAGATGGATTAAATACTTCAACATAAGACCTAACACCATAAAAACCCTAGAAGGAAACCTAGGCAAAACCATTCAGGACATAGGTGTAGGCAAGGACTTCATGACCAAAACACCAAAAGCATCAGCAACAAAAGCCAAAAAGTTAAATGGGACCTAATGAAACTCCACAGCTTCTGCATGGCAAAAGAAACAGTCATTAGAGTGAATCAGCAACAAACAGAATGAGAAAAAAATTTTGCAGTTTGCCTATCTGACAAAGGGCTGATATCCAGATTTTACAACGAACTAAAACAGATTTACAAGAAAAAAACAAACAATCCCATTCAAAAGTGGGCAAAGGATATGAACAGACACTTTACAAAAGAAGATATACATGAGGCCAACAAGCATTTGAAAATGTCCTCATCATCACTAGTCATTAGAGAAATGCAAATCAAAACTACATTGAGATACCATCTCACACCAGTCAGAATGGCCATCATTAAAAAATCTGGGGACAACAGATGCTGGAGAGGATGTGGAGAAATAAGAACACTTTTACACTGTTGGTGGGAGTGTAAATTAGTTCAACCATTATGGAAGATGATGTGGTGATTCTTCAAGGACCTAGAAATAGAAATTCCATTTGACCCAGCAATCCCATTCCTGGGCATATATACAAAGGATTATAAATCGTTCTACTATAAGGACACATGCACACGAATGTTCATTGCAGCACAGTTTACAATAGCAAAGACTTGGAACCAACCCAAATGCCCATCAGTGATAGATTGGACAGGGAAAATGTGGCACATATACACCATGGAATATCAAAAATGATGAGTTTGTGTCCTTTGTAAGAACATGGATGAACCTGGAAACCATCATTCTCAGCAAACTGACACGAGAGCAGAAAATCAAACACCGCATGTTCTCACTCATAGGCGGGTGTTGAACAATGAGAACACATGGACACAGGGAGGGGAGCACCACACACTTGGGTCTGTTGGGGGGAAATAGGGGAGGGGCAGCAGTGGGTGGGGATTTGGGGAGAGAGAGCCTGGGGAGAAAAGCCACATATAGGTGAAGGGGAGGAAGGCAGCAAATCACACTGCCACGTGTGTACCTATGCAAGAATCTTGCACGTTCTTCACATGTACCCCAAAACCTAAAATGCAATAAAAAAAGAAAGAAAGAAAATTGACAAGCATAGATGATAAAGGGTCATTCCCAAGCCACTTTGGGTACCATGGTCCCCACTCAAAAATGGAAATGTCCCGAGTTCTTTTCAGTTTACTC